CCCTAACAAGATAATAAGATTACCCCCCACATTACCAACAGTAAACACTATTTGTAATAAAAGATTACCATAATATTTTATTATTTAGAAACCAAACACCAGAATCTTGTAAAATAAACGAAGATTACTGTAATACTTTCTTTCTAGCTGGTATACTCGTAAAATAATAATTTTCTATCTCTTTTCACTCCCCACTTTTTCAACTAATTTTGAGTGAAAATACCATTTTACCCTTAATGCAAGTTTAAGGTATTTTCTTCACATTTTCCTTAAAATAACCTTAGCAAAAATTAACTAAAGGTATAAGAGTATAAATTAAATTACGTACCTCCATGTGGGCGTTACAATTACCCCCATTATCTTAGGGGCCGTTTAGATTGGGGGTATGTCACGGCCAAAGATTTGGCATTTTCATGGCTAGATCTGTGGCTATTTCATGGTCACATCTTTGGCCATGAAATAAACATAGATATGACCATTTTCTAGCCATGGATTTGTGATCCATGGCCATTTCCAGCTTTATCGGAGCACAGCCGGCCATATACAGCCAGTCGTGCACCATTCCATCAACTGTCAGCGACAGCCGGCGGTGGCAGCTGGCTGCCAACAGTTGCTTGGGTGGGTAGAGGTGATTTTGCTACAAATTAAATGTGTATATGGTTTAGGTGTTTTAGCAAAATTTCAATTATAGGGGGTTAAAAAAAATGATTCAAAAAATAATAATAATAAATATCATTATATTAATATTTAAAAGAGAGCAACTTAGTCATTTATACAATATACATACTCATTTATCCTCCTAACCTAATATATTATTCACTAATTTATTCGAACCAACCAAATACATTTTCTAAACATTTCCGTAATCTTCAATGTGATATTTCTTTCCGTTAATATAATATACCCCTATAATAAAACATTATTTGATCCAAACATGCCTTAGAAGATTTTTTTTTTTTTTTTTTTTTTTTTTTACTATTTTAAATAAATCTATTCATGTTCGTCCTCTTCTAATGGAGAGTCATTGTCATAGACTAATCTGAGTTAAAGAAATATTTGTGTCAAACTTATAATTGAACAAAAATCAAAATCCAACTGGTTAGTATCATCTTATGATTTTCTGCTATTCTTGATTGCTCTTTGTTTTCTTCGTCTGTTTCTTGACTCACTAATATTATTAAACGGTCATAAAATCAATACCAACAATGAATTAATAAAACCTGAGATAAGGAGGAGGCTAAGAAAGTTGTGAGAGAAACATAGTTAGAACTTCAATAGACATAAAATGAGAAGTTGCGTTGGTTTTATTGATCCAAAAAAGTTAAATTGAAACTGAAGAGTGTAAGGACATAGGACATAAAATTGTGCGTCAATTGGTTAGAACCGTAGAGTTTTTATTTTTTTATTTTTTCTTCATAGAAGTCTAAAACAAATTTGCAACCGTTAGATGATGGAATTGTCACATCTCTTTTGATCCATTAAAGATTAGCTAAAATAAAATAAGGATCCAAATCCTAACATTTTTTTGCCAAGTGCAAAGTCCATTTTATTTATCGGAATTGAGTAAAGAAAGAGGTTTTCATGGGAATTCAATTCCTTAAAAATATAGGTAAAGAATTCCTTTAGAAAGTTTAAGGAATATTGTATGGAAAGGGAATTTAGAGAAATCACTCCGTTGACCCTATTTTGAATGTAAAACTAAGGCAATAATTGCTCCTATACAAAGTTACCAAGTTGTCTATATAAAGGATTCTATGTTCACGTATACCCATTCCAACTTACACACTTGATTATTCATTTAATAATATTTTGTTTATAATTAATTTATATAATTAGATAAAAATTATACAAAATTTATGTAAAATAACTATTATTTCTTTTGTTTTTTATCTAGTTATATGACTTAATTGTAAGTATAACATTGTTCTTATTCATTTGAACTCAAAACTTTGTTTTTTCTTGTAATCATCTTTAGTGGGTGTTTGACTTGATTAGCATTGGAATGCCTATGTCGACAACTCTATTATCACACTAATGACTTTCTTTGCTTTATTTATAATCATCTCCTATGAGTGTTTGACTTAACTGTTGGAGTGTTTATTTGTTGACCTACTTAACGTGATAACCATCTCTTACGAGAGTCAAATTTAAGCATTGAAGTGCCTACTTGTCGACACACTTGATGTGACTATGGTTAGATAATCATCTCCTATGACTATGAGTGTCTAACTTGAGTATTAGAGTACTTATTTGTCAACGTACTGAAAATCACCATAGTTAGACAAAGTTATTGTGAACTAAAGGAATGACCAAAAAAAAAAAAAAATGATTTCTATATTGAACAAAATTCTGGATCAACAACAAATATTATCACATATGAAATATATTTTCTAAATAGGTGTTATAAAATTAAATTTTCTATAAATTTTGGGGTTTACACGCATGTACTAAATCTAGTCAAATTCATTGCACAAATTTCTGTCCACACGAGACTAGTTCTAATTCCAAGAGATTGTAGCTGTTAAGCAATTTCAATTTCAGTGAACTACGGTGCCTTTATTTCCCTATTTTTTCTGATCATTTCTAAAATATACATTTGTTATTTTATTTTTAAAATACTATTATATTTTATTCAATTATTTTAAACTCCTTAAATTTATTAATTTAACTAAATACCTTTTTAAAAAAAAAGTTTAAAAATTGATAAAAATACCCCTATTTACCCATATTTGCTAGATTTCGGTCATTATCATCAGAAGATGGTCGGAATCTAGTATAGTGACATACTACTAGCTGGATCTAGCTAATAGTACGTCGATATAGCTGTGACGGCCAGATCTTTGACCGTAGTTAGTCGTCAACTACGGCCATATCTTTGGCTGTCATTGACGATCAAATGTGGCCAGATTCACGATAGATCTGGTTGGAAAAGGCCATCTCAGTGCATGATCAATCAGATATAGCTGGTCGTACGTTGATACGGTGACTCTAAACACCTTCCGACAATGGTGGTCGAGGTATTTAATGGATGGATGAAAGTATTTTTTTAATTTTCAATATTTTTATTACATGGATGTTTAGTAAATTAACAGACCTACGGGATATTTTTATTAATTTTTAAATCCTATTTTATTATTACTATCCAATTCTTACTTTTTCAAAAATACTATCCAAAATACTAAATGAAATGCCCTTCAGGGAAAGATTCTCACGTGATTTCAGAGCTTTTACAGAGGAGTAATGCTACAGCCATCGACGGTAGTGTATCGAATTTGTGTACCAAATGACGTAATAAAATTTTAACTGTTGATTAATATTAAGTTAAAATTAATCAACGATCAAGATTTTATCACATCGTTTGATCCATAAATTCGGTGTACTATCATGTATTATTTTTCTTTACGAAGTTTGGATACTGGAAAAGACCGGTCGACTCCAACAGCGTAACTGCCAATGGGAGGTGTTTGGTCGGATGACGTGTGCAAAATTTACTTAACAGACATAAAAGGAAAAAAAAAAAAAAAAAGAATTGTCAAAGATTCGATATATGATGAGATCATAATCGTTCATTTTGTCAGTCGAGTCTAATTATGAAACTAGAGCGGTTGGTGCACATTGTAATGCTTGGATACATGAGATAGAGAATCTTTGTGGCGCCCTTTAAGAGTACCAATCATGTAAAATTAATTATTTAAAACAAATAAAATTCAATTATAAGACATTAAACTCAATTAAAAAGTAACATGTTGTGATACCTATTTTTTAGAATTTTAACTTTTTATAAATAAAAAATTAAATTAATTATATTAGATTGATTTCAATATAATGGTTATTTTAATCTAGAGTGCATGTACCTTAATTTGACAAGTATGCATAGTTATAAAACAAGGTTTGAATTAGTAAGTGATGATTATAATTGTCGATTTATCGTGTGTGATTTTTCCTTCAAGCTTGGAGAATTGCGAGGTTATAACTCGATTCAAAACCAGCTCGACTCAATCGATTGTCCGACTTAGCATAAATTCGTCGAGTTGTAGCTCGACCTAGTATAAACTAATCGCGACCAATTCTTATAGATGTTCAACCAATTTATAGATAACTTCAAATCCTAGGTATCTCGAAAAGGATCAAATCGACAACAATCTTGTCGCAATCACAACGCTCAATCGTGAGAATATCGGAGTTATATTTCAAATTTAATTGTAATCCTTTTATTTTTGCTATTTCTTTTATGCAAAATTTGTATATAAACTCCCTCCAACGATGAGAAAAAGACTTAACAAATTATTCTAGGATTATTATTGTAAGCTCTCACAGTAAATACAAAAACAGTGGATGTAGGTTTAAGAGTATAACTCGCCGAACCACTTTAAAAACTTTTTTGTCATTTTCTTTACTGCATTTATTATTTATTCTTTACTAGTTATCCGTAATCACGCACACATTAGTTCCGATCTTGTCAAGGTCTATCAAATCGCTCTAATTAGTGTATTTTTGCATCAACAATAATAGAATACAAGGGGTGTTACATGTATAAATAATATATACAAACGGACATAGTTAGTGTTTTTTCATTAATACAATATTCATCTATATTCAGGACTTTTCTTTTTATTTGTAACTTTTTAGTTTTTACAGTCAGCTGTTTCTAACTGACCAATAAAATTAACCAGAACAAAATCAACAATGATATATATATATATATATATATATATTTTTTTTTTTTTGATGGACGTAAATACAGAAGATACTAGTTTAGGAAGTTAGGAGTGTGGCAGTGGCAGGCCCTTCAAGTACTGAATAGGCGTTCGTGGGGTGGATGCGTTTTTGAATTGGATTGGTATTTGGTTGGTTGTGTATACGACAAACAAGTGTATTGGAGACTTTCTTCGTATGGTGACTGTATCCATGACCTCAATCAACATTAACAATTAAAAAAAAAAATTATATATATATATATATATATAACGAAGACGAAACTAGTAGTAGTGACACTAGAAGGGAGAAAAACAAATAAGAAAAGAGAAGAGGCGCGGGTGGTTGAGGTTTTGTGTTGGTGTCACCGGTCCTTTCCGCCCTTCCCATTTTATCTTCTTCCAAATCCACATTTTCTTTCATCCTCACATCTTCTCTAACTTCTCATCCCTCTCTTCTCTTCTCTTTTCTCTTCTTCTTCTTCTTTTTTTTTGTAGGCCTCATGGCTGCTTTACAATCATCAGTGTCTCCCATTCCTCATCTCACCGTCAACATTAAACTAAAGCCAACCTCACTCCTTTCTACCAATAGGAACCCTTTCTTTGTTGATTTCGTTGGATTGTATTGTAAATCCAAGAGAGTCAGACGGAGAATCGGTGTTTCCTCTAATCAAACTATCCTTTCTCCGACCAACTCCTCTGTTGTTAAAGCTGTGCTTGATCTTCAACGTCAACGTGTCCACCAGTCATCTCATCCTCAACAAAAACAACAGGTCTTTCTGCTTTTCTTTTCTTTATTTATTTTATTTTGAAGTCTTTGTTTTTTGTAATTTCATTCCTTCTCCGTCACAATTATGGTGATTTCAATGTAACTGATGATAATTTTGAAATTTTGACTACTATTTTGGGAGTTTAAATTTAAGCTGCATTGCGACTTGATGCATTTTTTATTTTTTCGAATGCACTCTACTACTGTTTGGTTAGACTTCTTTTAAATTTAAAAAAAAAAAAAATGGCGCAAGTAGTAAAGAAGTAGGCTAATGAAGAAAATTAAATTCAAGTAATTTTAGCTATTAGCAACAAACGAGGCTCAAATAAGATTATGTTCTTTTCAATTTATGTTAACTCCTCCATTTTTCCTTGATGTGGCAGTCAGAATTCCTGACTTTTTAGTTGATTATAAATTATTAGAAGACAACTGTGTAATTTATACATTAGAAAAGTTTTCTCTTCAAGTGTGAAAAATTTAGCAAATGAAGATAACTGTGGGGTAATTGAAACCAGGGAATTGGGAATTAACAATCTAAATTCAAAAAAGCAGTTAATTGGTTGATTTGTATGTTAATAGGATGAAGAATCTGTGAACTAACGTTTTCGAAGCTCAGTTTGGGTAGTTGGTTCATTTTTCTTTTTGGTGTTTTGTGGATTAAAGGAAATGGCAGGAAGTTCAAAGGTAGAATGATTGTTGTTAGAACTAGATACTTATAAAGATATTATCAGTGCCTTGTATTTTATGCTTTTTTGTTTCTCTCTTTTGGGTGTGAGGTGGCTTCTTTTGTATTTGTTTTCTGTACATGGGTTATGCCCCTTGCTACACTGTAGAAATTGCTACCTCTGTAGAAATTGTTATCCTAGGACTTGCCGTTGTTGCCCAGTGTAAATCATATTTGGAATCCTTGCACTCTTTCTTCGCTGTATTTTGAAAATGGCTATAAGTATGTAACCATAATTCAAGATTTTATTGAATAAAAATAGATTAGAAATTTTTTCTTTCATATTATAAATTTTCTAGTTGATAACCTTTCGCTAGTGTTGATTGATTGGCCTTTAATCATTTTACTACTGTTGACATTTAATCGGCTGGAATGAAACAGATAATTTTAAAAGTAATGGTCCATTTCCTTTCACTAGTGTTGATTGATTGACCTTTAATCAATTTTCTTTCTTTATTGGTTATTGAGAAAGGATTTCATTTTTTCATTATATAGGAGGATTTGGAATTAGTGGTTGACTTGGTTTTCTTTTGCACTAACTGCATTTTATCTTTTTCATTAATACAACTTATTAATGTTTCTATTATAACAAAGATGATGTAATGTGCAACGATGGTTGAAGAAGAAAACATTTTGTTGTGTAATGGTGTTATATATGTTATGGAGAAAATTAGGTAACATCTCTTGTTTATTTTATGCTGCAGTAGCTAACTCCAAGGACTTTTTGCTATTTGATTTTTCCTTTTATAGTCAAGTTCGTTTTTTGAATTCTTGTTTTAGATATGTTGGCAAGTTGGGGAGATTTAATGTAGGATGAAAAATTACAAGGATCTGTTGGCAAGTTGTCTTACTTTACCAACCTTCACTAAGATCTGCAAAGGTGAAGCTTGATGGCTGATCTATGTCATTGCTTGTGGTTTTATGTGAATTGATCCTGGACAAATCTTTTTAGATGGTTTAACATTGTGACCTGTTCTGTTGGGTGACAGTGTCCTTTTCTTTTTGCAATAATAAAAATCTTGTAGTCTCAATTGCATTATTATTGGTATCTCCCTTCTTCTGCCATTTTCCTTGGTTCTCTGTGACATCTTGTTTAAATTCATTATCAATGAATTTGTTATAATGTGAAATGAATTATTGAATGGTCATTTGATTTGTATTTAACGCTCAGCAGGCTGCTAACTTGGAGGATATAATTTCTGAAAGAGGAGCATGTGGAGTTGGATTCATTGCCAATTTGGAAAATAAAGCATCACATGAAATTGTTAAGGATGCTCTTTCAGCTCTTGGCTGCATGGAACATCGTGGGGGCTGTGGAGCAGATAATGATTCTGGTGACGGTTCAGGACTGATGACTTCAATTCCATGGGATCTGTTTAATAATTGGGCTGAAGAGGAAGGGATTGCTTCCTTTGATAGGTTGCACACTGGTGTTGGAATGGTTTTTCTCCCGAAAGATGATGACCTTTTGAAAAAAGCCAAAGAAGGTGATTGCTTATGGTGCTTTCTCTCAATTCATTTCAACATTGTTGCTTTGCATTTGCAATGATTTGAGTATGCACATGTGATGGTTATTTGACTCCTCATTTTGTATTATTATCAAGTTACATGATAGTTTACATATTCTCATTGATATGAGCTTGTCATGCATGAATAAACATTTGATGTTTGCATTTTCTATAGTTTATGCATGATTTATTATGTATAGTATGTTAGCATAAGTATCATTATGACATTTGTTTCAGTCGAGGAAAAAAACAGGTGCTTGGTACCTTTTGCATGATAAGCAAGCAGTAGTTCTAAGATTGATGAAATGTTAAGCAATTATTGGTGTCAGAAGTTGCAACTTTTAGAGGCATACTTTAAGTAAGAGGCATCTTGTTAAGGTGTTTTTCATTTATTTGTGTCAAGATAATCCATGTTGCTCCTGAGCTGCACCTTAGTGTCAGAATCCCAAAGATCAGGCTCTATCATCTTACCTTGATGTTGAAATTTTGACAAAGTTGAATATGTTTTGAAGCAAAGAGAATTAGGACCTAAAGATCATTGTCCCTTGATGGAGAACCTATTCAAAAATTGTATTCCATGAATGAAAGATGATGCATAATAAGTAAAGCTTTATGAAGGTGATAGATTTTGACGAGAGGCAAACCTTGAAATTGGGTTTTGGCTAATCCTTATAATTCCTTTCCTAAGAGCAAGGACAAATTGAGATCTGTAGAATTAGAATCCTGTAAAAAAATCTTTAATTGGTTTGGTTTCAGAGTCTTTGACAAGTTGTCTTTTTTTTCTTTTTTTAATACAACTTGAGTAACCCTAGTTCTTGTTCACCAGATTTAGTTTCAAAAGTATTGTCCTGGTGTATGCCTGATTAATTCAGACTCTGGATTAGGTTCAGGTGCAAATTGGTTAATTAACATCTTTAGTGAGTTGTGGAAGGACTTGGGACATCCTACTCCTATACTCGCTCTAAAATCTTCCCTTGAAGATCCATATTGACATTAGTTTTTTAGTGGGCAGGTGGTAATTTTTAACATTTCAGGTAGGAGAATAGCTAATAAAAAGACATTTAAGTTCCGATTTGGTTCTACTTTGACCAGGAATATGAAATAAATGATTTACACCAAATGTATTAGGACGAAGGTGTTCCCAAAGCCTTTGTAAGTAGTGAATTCTCAGTCAGACATTCTTACGGAGTTGAAGTAAAAGACTTTTGATGGTAGACGATTAATGAGATACATGATAGTCAGCATGAAAACTCTATGATCTTTTACCTGGACCTTAGTGGATTCAGTGGTGCTGATTCCTTCTGTCTGATATTGGGCCAACACACAGCAGGATATATTTTTAGCTAGGAGCAGATGCTTGGAGCTCCTCAGCTATGTGTTCTGGTTCTGCAACCAGATCAGTACTACTGTTTCAGTAAAATGATAAATTGTCCAGGGTTGAAATTAATGATTTGAATGTTTTTCTGATGCATGGTTTACTTTACATGACTGAAGTAACTTGCTTGTACCTCATTCTTTTTTTATTGTGCTTTGTTGTGTTGGAACCTTGTACCATTATTCTTCAATCTTTTTGTTATTTTAAGTTCTTTATTTTTGTTTGGTTAAGGTTGCTCTTTCTTTCTTGTGTTTAGGATATTAGCACCTGTTGGGAAACTAGTGGCTGCTGTGTTGTACCTTGTCTAAAAATAATTTTTCCGGAGAGTTTCTATTTATACTATTTTAGGATTTATGATACTACTTGTAGACGAGGAAGTCTGTACCTTAAAAGCATAGATCTTTGTTTTATCCTTGTGCTTGTATTTTAATTTATGCAATGCATTATCTGAGTCCCAATGTCATCTATTATGTCCTATATATTTTTTTATTCTCTTTTTTTGACCATTAGTTCTAATTTCTCCTGTAGTTATTATAAATACTTTTAGACAAGAGGGTCTTGAGGTGCTTGGATGGAGATCTGTTCCTGTAAATATGTCTGTGGTTGGTTACTATGCAAAAGAAACCTTGCCAAACATAGAGCAGGTATTTGTTAAAGTCATTAAAGAAGAGAATGTTGAAGATATTGAGCGGGAACTGTACATCTGCCGTAAATTGATAGAAAGAGCAGCAGCATTGGAGAGTTGGGGAAATGAGCTCTATTTTTGTTCTCTGTCAAATCAAACAATTGTTTACAAGGGCATGCTTCGTTCAGAAGTTCTTGGGTTATTTTATACTGACCTTCGGAGTGACGTTTATAAAACCTCTTTTGCTATTTATCACCGAAGGTATAGCACAAATACTAGCCCCAGATGGCCACTTGCTCAACCTATGCGGTTACTTGGTCATAATGGAGAGATAAATACCATACAGGTATAATTTTTTAAAATGAGATGCTGTACTTTGCATATAGTTGCATGTAATCAATTTGTACCGATTGCTGAAATATATATGCAGGGGAACTTGAACTGGATGCAATCTCGGGAGGCCTCATTGAAGTCTCCTGTTTGGCATGGTCGTGAAAATGAAATTCGTCCTTTTGGAAACCCTAAGGCTTCAGACTCTGCGAATCTTGATAGTGCAGCAGAAGTATGTATCACTTCAATATTCAAATGGTTTCCATTATGTTTTCAGCAGTACATGATTTCTAATTTTATTACTTCTTTTTACCGATGATGCATTTGAAAATGTATCACAGCAAAGCAAAAGAAAAAAAGATTGAAATCCTTAGTGATCTGAGAAAACTTTCTTGGGTGGAGTCTTCATTGCGTTCCTGTTGCTTTATTAGTGCTACATTTGTAAATGATTTCTTATAAAATCACAACAAAAAAGTTAACCCTATTTATACCTCTGAACGCTGTTGGCAATAAGTGTTCTCACTTGCATGATATTTTTATGAGGACTATTGGAGATATGCAATTTTCTTAAAGATGATTCAGCAAGCTTTTAGAGAGCTTTGGTGGGAACTATGTTCTGGCTGCATCCTGATCTTTTAGTTCTTTGTCTTGTTTTATAGTTGATCTTTATCCCTATGTATGCATATTTTTTGTCTTAGAAAGATTCTTTTTGTCTTTATTTGCATCCAACTCTTTCATCCCTTGTTTTGGAAATCTCCCCTTTGCGGGCCTTTCTTGAGGACTGCAAAGCATTGTTGTGGCCTTGTTAAATAAATGCATGTGTACATTTTCAAGAACCTTTCTTCAAAGCACCATACAAATCTGAAAAACTGTGGATATTTCTCATAATTATTAAGTTAGGCTAAATTCTTTTTCTTTCTCATCCTCTAAAGGATAAGGGTATTCTTTTGTATTTCTGTTTTAGGAATGAGGGGTATGTAAGACCATTCAAATTCAATGGGGACCAAGTTCCTGGATTGGATGGTTTCATTTAGAATATTTAGGAGGTTTTGAGAGACTGGTGAAAGAGGAATTTATAGCTCTTTAGTTTAATTTGAACACATCATAGATTGAGTGTCCTATTGCCATTTTATGTTTGATTTACCTATGATTGATATGATATGAATCAATTGGCTGGGTTGGATGTAAAAACAAGTTTATTCGTACTTCTTCTTGAAAAGAATACATTGCATTGCAAACGTAGACCCTGAAAAAGCTTCAGAAGTGTGGTTAGATTTTGTGATGAAGCACCACTTCCATTTCTCTTTTACTTAATGGAGGAATGATTGCTACTATTTTGCCAATTACTTTTTTTCTCTATAATTCTGCTCTTAGTTGGCTGTTTCATAAATTCATAGTTTGAGATATGTAGATTTGTTGTCTAATATCATTTTTTTCTTGTCTTGAAGACTATTAAGGTTTTTGGTATCTCATCAGTTTTGCATTCTTATTTAGCGTATATATTAATTTTCTTATGTTTCTTTGGGGGGTTTATATATCTTTTTATTTTTTTTTATTTTTTTTTTTGGACCAAGAGAGATAAGTTGAAGTGTTTTAAGATTGTTTTTGATAATCAGAATTTGAGAGAGTGTTATCATGGTAGCTAGGTAGCTCATCTGGTTATTGTTTTTAGCTTTTTCTTGTGTTTTAAGTTGAAAGTTTGTAGGATCTTGTCCCTGAAGGATTTGAAAAGTTTCTTGCATCTTGAGGAGGAAACTTTTATTAATAGAGGGAATAAAGCTATTTTGACAAGAGGACTCTCTAGTCTCTACTCCTATTTTCTTCCTTTTCAAGTTTACAATCTAGTGAAAATGGGGGTCAAACATAATAAGGAATTTATTTTTCTACTTGAATAAAATGAATGTTCTTACACGGGCACTTGGACAGTGGAAATTGCTATGCAGTGGATATCGTTGTTACCACATCATGCTTGTTGGTGGATAACTTTAGTTGCAGTTTGTTTATTTTTTCCATGAATTATTCTTTTCTTTATGTCCTTGAAGCGAATCCTTTACCAGACAGGTTTCCAGGATTCATCGGTTCACTTGTTCACTTTGCAACTGATAGATTGTTCAGAAAATTTGACTAGCTTTCTTCTTTACTTTTTCCAGTTGTTACTAAGAAGTGGCCGATCTCCTGAGGAGGCTCTAATGATTCTTGTCCCAGAGGCATACAAAAACCACCCAACTTTGATGATTAAATATCCTGAGGTATTCTGTGTTAACAATTTTGTTGTGAGGAGCCTCTAAGATTTTGCTTTGAAAATCTTCTATTTTGCATATTAATTTCTCTTTCCTTTTTGTTAGAAATATTAGTTCTCTCCTCTTACAGTTAGAAGTGACAACTATTGTGATTACAATTGATTCTGGTTCATTTCATATATATTTGTCACTTCATGTTTTTAAAAAATAAACTAAATGAAGTCAGCATACTGATTTTGGTTTCAGTCAATCAAAGTCTTCTGATTCTAATGCACTTTTTGGGTCTTAAATTATTTTATAGCATAGACCATCATATTCGTGTTGTTGCTTTCAATCCACGATTTTCTTAGTTTGGTTTACTGCTTTGTGTGTGCTTATAATACTTTTAACTTTTAATTGACGCCTACCATTTAATGTTTATGATTAACTTTACCACTTGTTAATTTTAATGAATTTATTGGGGAGATTGTCAATTAAGGTACAACTTATTCATGACATAATACAAAAGGGACACAAATTTCATTTTGTTCAATTTAGGGACATTAAATAGTAACTTGCAGTTACATTTAATAGGAAACAAGGACAAATTCATAAATACGAATTATATAAGTTATAAAAAAGTAAAAAGCAAAATAGACTCAACTAAAATAATCCTATCCAGTATAATGTTGACATGTGTCTTACAAAATTTTAGAAACATCCTAATTAAAGAATTAATACAATCCATATTTCGAAAACCAAAAATAAAAAACAAAATTACAAAATAGAAACATCCTAATTAAAGAATTAATACAATCCATATTTCGAAAACCAAAAATAAAAAACAAAATTACAAAAAAAAAAAAAAAAAAAGTTAAAGGAAAAGCTCACAGCTTTTCCTCAGGCCAGTGGGGCAGCCAGCCTGGGGAAAAGCCGTTGGCTTCTCTCTTTTTATTTATTTATTTATTTTGATTTTAATGTTTTAAATTTAGTGATAAAATTGGTTGTCCTTTCTCTTTTTTAAGTTTGTAAATTTTTTTGTGATTTTTTTTTTTAAATTTTAAAATCTGTTTTTATATTTTATAATTCATATTTTAGGTTTTTCTTATTTTATTATTATTTTTAATATTTAAACTTTGAAATCAAACAAGTGTTCTCCTTTTTCTTAATTTTTTTTTTGTTTTTCCAATCTTTTGTAGTTTTTCTTAAGTTTTTAAATTAAATTCAAAAATTAAAAGCAAATAAATAAATGGGGTTATCTAATTATTTTTGTTATTCTTTGTTAAAGTTAACGGTAAATAAGGGTTAAGTGTCCCTAAATTGAACAAAATTAAACTTGTGTCCATCTTCTATCATTACATGAATAGGTTGTACCTAAATTTATAATATCCCAATTTATTTAATTTAATTGATGCTTGATGTGGCCAATACTGAAATAGTTTTCTTCTTAGGTAGTTGATTTTTATGACTATTACAAGGGTCAGATGGAAACTTGGGATGGGCCTGCCTTACTTTTATTCAGGTAACAATTCCAATAACATACTTATACCATAGTTTTTTCTGATATATATTAAACAATTGCAAAATACTGAAATCAGTGACAAGAATGGGATTTTTGTCATTCATATTTGGTAAAAGTCATGTTTATGGAGAAAAGAAAACAAAATTTGCCCTAATTTTAATTACAATTTTTGGTTGAGGAGAGCTTAAAATTTGGAAATTGCGATGAAAGGTGCCATCAGGATTAGCCAGTGCTTTGAGAACAGTGTAGTTATTGTCTGCTCTGATTACTGATTAAATTTATTAAATGTATTTTAGTTGCAAAGTGAGAATTATAGTAAAACTATTTTAGAGTTTGAAAGATCATGATATCTGGCTCATTGTTTCAAATGTTTGGCTGGTTGGATTTAAATTAAATAATATTTGTTTTCGTCAATTTAGTTTAACTAGTAAAAAAGGCAATATGAAAAAACAAAAAAAAAAGTTTAGGATGAACTCCTCTTGGTGTGGTATTATCGTCAACCCCTGTAAACTGATATTGAATTTGTGAAAATTTGTATAATGCTCTGTGCTTCCTTTCAAGAATTTAAAGTACATTTTCTGTTACAAATAATCTGGAGCGCATTTCATTTTTAAAAGCACTTCTATTTCTTAATTGTTATGTGTTTCTTTTCTTTACTTTCTTCCCCGTTTTCATTATTATTTTTTCCGTCTCCCCATTTCTCCAACCCTTTCAGTTGATATCCTTTCTTCTGATAGTTGTCTTTAATTCATTTGCCCAGTGATGGAAAAACTGTTGGTGCTTGTCTCGACAGAAATGGACTTCGCCCTGCTAGATATTGGCGGACGATTGACAATGTTGTGTATGTTGCATCTGAGGTGTGTTATTTATCTTCAACTATTTGTTGTAAATCATCTTTGAAATATCAACATAGGGTTTTGCATGGTTTATGCACAATTTGCCCAAGCATATTATAACTAATTGGCTTAGGAAACCTTTTGTACCTGACACTTTTGGGCCAACAGCTGAAAATCTCATTGGACAAAAAGCAGAATTGTATCCTCATCACAATCTGAAATCATGAAAATTGGCTGACTACTTGGATTTGGTAATGAAGAAATTATCACATATGAGAGCAGAAGGACCAAATTTCATAGGCTTGTCCTATTCAAGGTCAAGTAAATACATATATATGTATACAGCATTGTAAACAGTCAAATGTTAATAGGGGAGTCCTAGAATAGCAAGATGAGTTGTACTACAGTAAATGTTAAATGATTTAAGTTAAATATTTTAATGACTTCAATCATAAGAAAAAAGAAAGTTTCTTGTGAAACAAAGCCAAATTAGCAGATTATCTCGGCTTGTTGATTCATGACTAAAATATAAAAGGAGAGAAATAGGGAGAAGTAGAGGAAAGAAGAGAAGTTAGAAAGAGACAAGAACATAAATTAGATAGGAAAAGAAAAGGAAGCATCAAGAGAGAGATTGGGGAGAAAATTGTTCAATCATATATCATTTCTGTGACGAATATATTCTCCAAGGATAAAAGAAAACGCCCATTTTAAGTGTCCAAGTCCTGAACAAAAAGGAAATAAAATCCCCTAAAAATAAGTAAAATTCCTATTTAAATAAGAAATGTAATATTTGGAAAACTAAATCTCTTCTAAAGTAGTAATGATCCATCTCAGATAAGGAGCAACCTTAAATCAAAGAATGAAATAATTAGAAAGATAAATAATTAGCCTTTGGTTCTTCTTTAAGGGGGAAATGCAAAGACTATGGAACTATTGAAATCTTGTTGTGGTTAGAGTTGAGAAAAGATTGGAGGTTTGGAAGAGAGGCTGTCTATCTACAGGGGAGACTTAGGTGGCATTTACTATATTTTATTTTATTGAAATCTGAAAAGAACTGAATTGTTTTAAAATCTGAATACCTGTAAATGACTAGATCTGATATGTTTATTTTTTAGTTTCTATGATTTGATTATAAGTGTTGAGTTGTGTGTTTTTGTAAATAAAACGATCTGAAAATTAACATTTTGATATATATGTTTATTTCCTATTAGAAAAAAGTTAGTAATCATTAGTTTTTGGGTTTTGCATTGTTTGTTTTGTACAATTCTAGTAATTTTTTATGTTAGTTGTATTTTTTTTTTATTGCCAAATGGATTTTTTCTTTATTTAATGTGTTTGATGAGGTTTCTGTGTTCATGTCCTGCCTTCAACATCTTCCAGCTGTTGCTGTTTTATGTTTGTTTTGCATTATATACAATAATGCCTTGTGTTATCTAGGTTGGTGTTGTACCAGTGGATGATGCAAAAATTACCATGAAAGGCCGTCTAGGTCCTGGAATGATGATAGCTGTTGATTTACAGAGTGGTCAGGTTTGTGCAGCTATTTCTATTGGTGTCACTAAGTGCATGTACAGTCTTTCTATAGGATTTTTTTGGGAAAATGTTTCATATTCATTAATTTACAACCATTAATATATCATTTACCTATATCATTCAGCATTTCAAAATTTTAAAGAGTTTAATTTAGAAGATAAAAATTTATTGCATCTAAATTCATCAAATTGTTTCTTAAATTTTTGCACTAGCATTGGATATTAATTTGTTGGCTTAATCCCATTATATAATTGTCTTAAGATGATACTGTTCGTTCTCAATGATTCAAATTATAAACTACATGTCATATAGGGATATATTTTGACAGTTAATCACGACAGAGAGATATCTTCCTCTGTATTGTTACGGATGATATTTCCATCATTTACATATTTCATTATTTTATTTTATTTTTTAAAGTAGAAACATATTAATATCTGATGAGACTCCCTGCACTACTAACAAACAATAGCCAAACAGTACAAGATAACAGAATATGTTCACCTCAAACAAGCCTCAACCAAGTATAGTAATGGAGAAAAAACAAAGAACAACCAAAACAATTGATAAACTCAACAGATAGATCCCAGCAATTCGAGGAGCTGGGAACCTCCCACAATGACACTATTTTGATCTCCTCCCCTTCACCAAAACTGACCCTTTATTTATACTACCTTCATGACTACCTATTCTACTAACAACTTTGATTCCCCTTCACACGTGGCTGTAACCAATTTCTCTAACAACTAACAGCAAGCACCTCACACTCTTTACCCCTTTCTGACCCTATTGTCCCTTATGCCCTTTGTATTTGTAAACATGCTTAATGTGAGGTCTATCAATATCATTGATTGAAATAATTAAGAAAGAGTGAACAAGTTGTCCACAGAAGTAAAGATTCATCTAAAGGAATCACAAAACTCTGTATAGTGTAGATTGATCAACTTAAAAAACTATGGATAACTTGAACATTAATGCCAGTAGTAATCACTTCCAATCTAAGTGTATAAGTACCCTGAATTTTTTTTGAGACCAATGCCCAAAGAGAAGCAAGTAAATGAACTTTATCCCACAGAATAATTATATCTTCTACACATCTATCTATAAAGATCCTTTTGTTCTTTTCTTTCCAAATCACCAAAAAGTAGCTAAAATAGCACAATATCACAAGACTTTGGCCATATTTCCCCTACCAAAGCAAATATATATTCTGAAAGAAAATCACTACTAGAGGCTGGAATGACTAAAAGAGGCTAGAATGATTGACTTAATTATTGCCGCCTGGACAAAGTTTAATCGTAATCTTTAAAAATACAAAAACCACTCAATCAGAAGATGGCATATTCCTTTTGCACAAAACATAACCAGAAAGAGACAGAACCAATTAGGAAACCTTCTTTGAACATCACATGTAATGATTTTTCCAAGAGAGATGGTCCATGCAAAAATTTTGACTTACAAGGCACTTTGGCTTTCCAAATCATGCGGGCTGGTTGAAAAGGCTGAGAATCTCATCATCGACTAACCAATTGAAGAAGGATTTACATGAAAACATAGTAGAAGGATTGAGCTTCCAAACTCTTTCACCTCTCCGCTTAACAAGGAAACTTGGTCCACCAAAGTGAAGAGGCTTGTGACTCTTGATTGTTCTTCAATCTTCTCAATCTTCTATCAGTTACACATTTCATTCACTATCTGGTTTGGAAAAATTAGAATAAAGTTAACCATGCTGATGCAAATTGACTGCTCTTTAGGATAGTTGACCTTTATGGGGCTTTATCTATTGGCTTGAAACAAATTTCAGTGGTGTTAAGTATCGTACATGTACTACCTTTCTATGAAGTCACTCAGACACGGTCTTTTGACTATTTGAAATAACCAATATTAACAAGCTTTTGTCTAATTGGTATGATATTTTCTTTACATTCCTGTTGTGTTTGGAAGGTTATCATCTGTGTTCAGGATGAAGACAAGATGGAATTGATTTCTTATACATGCTCTTTTGATGCCAGTTTTACTTTCTATAATATTTAAATTGCAGATCATGTGATTTGGGGGTCTTATGTTTGACTTTTTTCTTGTAATTAATATTCTCATCTTAACTTTTTTTCTTAAAATCATATCCTTCAGTTCAGAAAGGATGTAAGCACTCCTGGGCTTGTATTTAATTTTTGTTTTATGTTTTAAACATGTTCATTTGCAGGTTTATGAGAATACAGAGGTTAAAAAGCGAGTAGCTGCATTAAATCCCTATGGAAAGTGGCTCAGTGAAAACATGCGATCCTTGAAGCCTGTAAACTTCCTTTCAATGACAGTTATGGACAATGAATCAATCTTAAGACATCAACAGTAAGTATTTTAACTAACAATCTATCATTTGGAATGAGTTTTAATTGAACGGGTTATGCTTACTGGTGAATCAAGATAGTTTCTTTCTTTCTTTCTTTATTATTATTATTGATAAGAAATAGAAAAGATGAAACATAATAGGAAAGGAAAAAAAAAAAGTTATAAGAGTGGATTTTGTTGTCCACAGCATAAGCAAAAACTTTGTTAAGATCGGTATCTTGTTCTATGTATCAATCTACAAAATCTGTAACTATCTGTGTATTGATAATGAAAACACTATCCTGGCTGCTGCAAAAGCAGCTGCATAGAGTAATAGTTTAAGAAACAACCATTTCCCAGTTCAGGTGAACTAAGAAAAATGATGTATCTTGAAATTCTTTCGACATGGAATATCAGTTGCATAAAATTAAAATTTATCCAACTAGGAATAACATCCTCCCTCTTTTTCTTGTAAAAACATGATTGTTTTTCTTACCAAATCATTCTTCTATCACGAGATGTGCTTCAGTTCATTTTTGTCTTGAAAAATTTGGTTTCTTTTTACTGAACTATCACGTCTCAAATGGTTCTTATTGTATGGATCTTTGACGGATCAGGGCATTTGGCTATTCTAGTGAGGATGTTCAAATGGTTATTGAGACTATGGCTTCACAAGGGAAGGAACCTACGTTTTGCATGGGAGATGATATTCCATTGGCAGTTTTGTCTCAGAGGCCACACATGCTTTACGATTACTTTAAGCAACGATTTGCACAGGTTTGCTCAAATAAAATATTATTTTTGATGAAACTGTTCTGGCTATTACCCTTGCTATTACAGTATAATAATTGATGCTTGGTTTTAAATGGCATTATTAGTGATTTGTTTGATTGTACTGGGTGCTTGATTTTGCCACTCATTTTAACTTCTTTGCCACTAGTACCTTGCATGGCATTATTTTTACCATGATTTTCGCACTCTCTGTCTCTCTGATATAGTTACAATGAAATGATAACAAGATATGGGCTAGTGTGCTTAATAGTATCTGAGCCTATCCTACTTTTCTTGCTGAAAATACCTCCTGATAGATAATATGTCTACAATCATACATGATTAGTACGTCAACTGAAAGTTCTCATTATGTTTGATTTTGTTGCTACTTATTTTAGTCATTAGAGTTTGTAATGACTAAAGTTTACATTGAAGTACATTGTGTTATATGATATGATTGATAAACAATTCCTTGCTAGTTAAAAAAATTAGGTTTTATGTCATTGGTATTATATAGAATTTAGACACTACCTAGCTGTGCTAGCGAGTGAGATTTTGTTCAGCAACTCTTGAATTGCTTGCTTGGATGCCCATTCCTAAATTTTCTTTGATAGGCTCCACTCTAAGTGTCATTTAGTAATGAGATCATTGCATACAAAACACTTGGCATACTATGATCTGGAAAGGCCAATAGAATTCAGTGTGAGATACATAAAATAAGTGAATGGATATTGTTGATTGTTTATGTATAAGCATTAGCGAACAATTAGGTTTCCTTCTTAACTTTTTCCAACAGGATATGCATTTGGTTGTGTACCTGCTGATTGGCAAGAAATCTCAATTAGTGAATGCTACACTGAATTGTATGGTAGAAGGTTAGATACAATCATTAACTTTCAGAAGAGTAACTGCAAATTTTTTGACTAACTAACTATTCTTAACATTTGAAATTTGGGTGTTGTTATACTTTCAGAAAGCAAGGTTGTGTTATTTGCTATTTCTTTTGTTTTATGAATAGGCTTGTTTGTTTTTTTAATGGCTGTGCTCTGTATGTGCAGGTTACAAATCCAGCCATTGATCCTCTTAGAGAAGGATTAGTTATGTCTCTTGAAGTTAATATTGGGAAACGAAGAAACATATTGGAGGTTGGACCTGAAAATGCTTGCCAGGTTCAATAGCATCTTCCTCTCCTCACAATTATATTTTCTGTTTATTATGCTTCTGATTGAAATTAATTAATGTCTAGTTAGGATTATATAATATTTATAGCTGTATTTTTTTTCTCACTCACATCAGGTTAGTTTGTCTAGTCCCGTGCTGAATGAAGGAGAGCTTGAGTCATTGTTGAAGGATCCTTTCTTGAAACCACAAGTCTTACCTACATTTTTTGATATACGCAAAGGAGTTGAAAGTTCCCTGGTCAGGACACTTCACAGACTTTGTGAAGCTGCTGATGAAGCTGTTCGAAATGGTTCCCAACTGCTTGTTCTATCTGACCGTTCTGATGAGTTGGTAAGCTTTCTTTTAGTTCTTAATATATTAACGTGGAATTTTTTTATAACATTCAGTACTAAAACCTAATTAGAAATCATTAATACTGTGAGAACTAAGTTAGCGTGTCTTTGATTATATAGTTACAAAAATGTTTCAGCATTTTGATAGGAATCCACTCACAAATTGATATGAATTGGTTGGATAGTGGGCATTTTGATGGAAATTGGGCTGGGTAATAGTCCTTTGTGAGCTTGGGTAGAGCTCTTCTTGAAAAACCGGCTTGCCAAGGGAAGGTGTCCAAGCCCTTATAAACCACATACCCACCCCATTTCTCTCTCAATGTGAGATCCTAACATACCACCATGCTTCTACAACCGACGTTCACGTTGGCCTCTTTACTCGTTGGGTGATTATGCGGATCCACCTTTCCCTTGGGCTTCCATGTCTTTTCTTGGGGTAGCAGCTTGGGCCCAAGGTTAGCTTGCCATAGGTCAGCCTACCACATAGGTGACGTCCACGTGGGCGCAGGATCATGCTCTGATACCATTTGATACGAATCCGCTCACAAATTGATATGAATTGGTTGAATAGTGGGCCTTTTGATAGAAATTGGGTTGGGTAGTTGTCTTTTTGTGGGCTTGGGTAGAACTCTCCTTGGAAAATTGGCTTGCCAAGGGAGGGTGTCCAAGCCCTTATAAACCACATGCCCATCTCTTTTCTCTCTTAATGTGGGATCCTAACATATTTGCTGCTGCATTTTTCATTGCAACAAAATTTCTGTTTCTTGATCATTTTGTTTTATTAAGCTTTTCTCTGTCTTATTTTGAGTCAGTAGATTTGAAGATTTTGCTTTTATGTAGTTTTTTTTTTCTTGAATATTGCTCCAAAATATTCAAACCAAATTGGTTAAATTTGTTAAATGTTGTTAGAAGTTGAATTTGTCTCACATCGCCTCAATAGTGGGTTGTTATGTTGTATATAAGTGATTGGGCTCCCTCCTCTTTTGAGCTAGCTTTTGGGAGTGAGTTCTACCCAAGCCCACTTTATCATGGTATCAGAGCCACATTTGTTTCTCTCCCCTCTTTGGTTGGGACGATGATGGGTTTGGATCCCGACCTTGCACGCCGAGCATGAGGGAGGGTGTTAGAAGTTGAATTTGTCTCACATCGCCCCAATAGTGGGCTGTTATGTTGTGTATAAGTGATTGGACTCCCTCCTCCTTTGAGCTAGCTTTTGAGAGTGAGTTCTACCTAAGCCCACTTTATCAAATGTTAACATGCATCATTGTATGATTGAAACATATTGGTTAAATTTGTTAAATGTTAGTTTTATGCTATTTGGAATGTGGTTAACATGCATAATTGTATAATTGAATCTGCTGCTGTAAATATAGAAGCCTTACAAGTGAAAGTTATAGTTTTGCTTAGTTCTTATTTTCACTTAAACAGTGGCTCTGTGTTACTGTCTCTTATACATACAGACACATGGATGCTATCATGGCTACATACTTTTATTCTTCCTGTACAGGCTGGAGTAAACTATTGTCCTTTTTACCCTTTGGGGACATTGCAGATGATCTGTTTGAGTTAGATTTTTCTTGTACTCTCATGTTCTTGAGGATGAAGTTCTTGTATCTCTGCCATGTCTTATTTATATTGTTTCTCCGCCAGGAACCAACTCAACCTGCAATCCCTATACTTCTTGCTGTAGGAGCTGTCCACCAGCATCTTATTCAAAATGGCCTGCGAATGTCAGCTTCAATTGTGGCAGACACTGCTCAGTGCTTCAGCACACATCAGTTTGCCTGTTTGATCGGATATGGGGCAAGGTTATTTCTCTTTCTTTCTAAAACTAATTACACATTTATTTCTTTGTTCTCATTTAATTACCTCAAGGATTTATACTATGCAGTCTGATATTCATACCTCAATATTTTGTATTAGGATAATTTCTGACGACCTTCCCTGAGGTTTGGGGAAAGTGTTAATTAGACCCAAAAGTTTTTAAATTGTAAGGAGTCTCTCCTTAAGTTAATTAATTGGGAAGTATAGGCAAATTATACAAGTACTAACGTTATTAAGGATGAAAATTTTTACATTATTAATGGCCTTGAGAGTTGGTCTCCTTGCTGTTTAAAAACATTTGGGTCTAATTGACCCTTTCTTCAAACCTTAGAGGAGGCTATTGTAATTACTTCTTTGTATTATCTACAGTTGAAAATGTAATGTTTCTAAATACATTTATGAAGTCTTGGTTTCATCTTCTCATACCATTGATTCAATTTTCTTTGGTCATTAACGTGATATGCATGGATATGTTACCAAGGATGAAAAATAAGGAAAGAGAGACAGGTCAGAAAGGACATGTATTCCATTTGTTCTTTTTTCTTTTTAATGTTGTAAGAATAGAGAGAAGTAAAAGTAATGCAGCTGTTGGTATGCAAAATATTGGGCCATACAAGAATTTAATAACTTTTGCGCGGAAAGAAAGTTGTATTTGAGGTACATGTACAGATGAAATGATTGAACTTAAAACCCGTCTAAATTGGCAACCCCTAACATGCAGGATTTTTATAACTATAGCATTTCTCCCGCATACTAAATTGAACATCACTTTTGAATAAAATTGCCAGTTGGATCTGATTTTACCCTAGATTACATTTAGATAGAAGCTAGTGAAAATTTCCTTTTTAAAATTAGTACACCTCTGTGTTTGTTGCAAAAGGAATATGCATGCCAATATTTTAATCGGTTTCAAACTAGTTCAAAGCTACTCTATGGAATTGCCTTAGGAGGACGTCCAAACTGTGCCTATGTTTTTCATTGCTTCCAGATTGTGAATCATGTTGTTTCCTCTTGTTCTGCCCCTAGTTCTAATAAATTTAAAAAAATCTCTTCTTTGTTATCCTGAATATGCATTCATTATTTTTTCTGAAATCATATCTCCAGTGCTGTATGTCCATACTTGGCACTGGAGACTTGCCGACAATGGCGTTTGAGTACTAAAACCTTGAATTTGATGCGGAATGGAAAGATGCCTACTGTGACTATTGAACAGGCTCAAACAAACTTTTGCAAGGTCAGTCAGTGATAGCAACATTTTTTTTTTCTTTTTGCAATCAACATTTACCTTATTTGCTTTTATTGTCTCCGATTAATTGCAGATTAAGGAATATTTACTTCGTAGAACCTTTATCTTATTTATTTCCTTTTTTAGGGTATTTACAGTTACAGTTTTTTTTATTTTGTAATATTGTAAATGCCCTGGTCTTCACTACTTATGGTCTTACCTTTCTAAGCCATGCAATTACCACTTGAGCAGTCTCCAAGAGGGTTAGCTATATGACTGTTTTTCTTTTCTTTTCTTTTTTATTTATTTATTTATTTTTTTCTGAAGATCCTAAAAAATTAATTTGAAGCCACAATGCTATAAATGAGAGGCAACTGAAAGCTGTTACAATAAGAAAAATTATCTCAAAATATTCTGAAGTGTCTAAATGAGATCAATTGGCAGAGGAGGCTCGATTGAAAATGTTGAGAAGAATAAGAATGTCATTGTTAAACTGTGAAAAAGATTACGCACACTCTTATAGACAATATATAAATTATTTATTTCATTTTAGACAATGCTTTTATACTTTCTTTCCTAAGCCCAGTCCTCCTGCTACTTATCATTACTTCAATGGAATATGTTTTTGCTGTTTATTCAATATGTTCATGTTCATGATAATTAAAATTTGTTTTTGTTATACTTCCAGGCTGTTAAATCTGGTCTTCTCAAAATTCTTTCCAAGATGGGCATTTCACTGCTTTCCAGGTGTAAATTTAAACTAAATATGATTTTCTAAGTTTTGCACTCTATATGTGAGTTACATTGACATATTGACTTACTAGCATTTTGTGTTTAGTTACTGCGGTGCTCAGATATTTGAGGTTTATGGATTGGGGAAGGAGGTTGTCGATCTTGCATTTACTGGGAGTGTATCAAATATTGGCGGATTAACTTTCGATGAGGTTAGAAGTAGAACACAGCAGGAATTGAGCTCTTTGTCTCTAAATTGAACAATTTCTAGTATTTGATGATGCATGATATGCAAACTTTCATATGCAGAAATTTCTTATGCCGTTGCATATAAACTCATTGATGTATGGCTGATTTAAGATCACATGAAAATTTTGTGATTAATATACTGCATATTACACTAAACATTTATATGCATAGCTTTAGCCTGTTTCAGTTGAAAGCTAAATTAGTAGCTGTTTGTTTTGTAATTTAGAACCGGGATATCAGATTATGAACAATCATACACTATTATGGCATATCATTTTTAAAAGCGGAGAATGCATTTGTTTACATTGTCCTCTTGGAAAATATATGCATAGTTTTACCCAGTGTCAGTTGAAAGCTATGATAGTAGCAGATGAAACCTCAGAAATTACATCAGTAATTGTGAACCTGGGTACCAGACTATTGAACATTCATAGATTATGTATGGCTTATATAACATGGAATCTCATGGATCTGTCTTTCTATCAGCTAATAATTCTTCTGATCATTCCTCCTAAATTTCTGAGATGGTAATGGGCCTAGTTTACTGCTTTATAGTTGAAAAAACTACAAGCATTAGCACTGTTGTGCTATTTTTCTTTGAAGAAAATTTTATAAACCGAATACTAATGAGCCTAGCTTAGACAGGTTATTTCCTACATTGTTGAACTAATCTTTTATCTTAATTTTGAAGGTACCACTGCACTTTTAACTTCATTGTCCATTGACTTTGTTTTCTGAAATATTTCTTTCTGCAGCTGGCAAGGGAATCGTTGTCTTTCTGGGTGAAGGCTTTTTCGGAGGATACAGCGAAAAGATTAGAAAATTATGGGTTTATACAGTTTAGACCTGGAGGTATCAATTTTTTTATTAACATGCATACATTTGCTGCCGCTTTTAACTTATGATAACATGAGTATGTTTAGATGCTTTTATGAATTAATTTTCTACATAATGGGAATAATATCTAGTAAAAGATAAAACATTTAGGTAAATTTATCTAACATAAGGTGAGTCCACAATTTGACAGTAGATACAACTGATACAAACAATATTTGATAGAACTCATACTTTTGCTTGGAACGTCAGTGTATCAATAATTTCAAGTTTTTTTTTTTTTTTTTTTTTGCTGCCTATTCAGAAGAATTGGAAAGTTGTAGTTGCTTTATTTTGATTTTTATCTTTGTTCTTCTCTGGTTTAGTCTGACTTCCATGTGTTGTCTTTATTGATTTTTTTTTCCTTCTGTTTCGTGTATTAATAATAATTTTAAAAAAAAAAAAAAAAAAAAAAAACTATTTATAGCTTAACTAAAATGTGTATTATCCAAATGAAAGTTTATATTTCCGTTATGGTTAACAACATTTGGTTGAACAATTTATTTGTTGCTTTGCCCTATTTCATAATATTATGAGCATCATTTTATTTGTTTTTCCAATAATATTTAACATTTTTAAATGTTTTTTAAGGTGAGTATCATGGAAACAACCCAGAGATGTCAAAGTTGCTCCACAAAGCTGTTCGCCAAAAGAGTGAAAGTTCTTTCTCAATTTATCAGCAGCATCTGGCTAACCGGCCAGTGAATGTGAGTTCTGAAGCTACATTATGCAATCATTCCTTTTTTATTCGGCCAATCTAATTTTCAACTTCATGAAAACATTTGTGATTTACATATTATTTCTGTTTTAAACTGTTAACTATAGGTTCTTCGTGACCTTCTTGAGTTTAAAAGTGATCGTACTCCAATTCCCGTTGGGAAAGTTGAACCTGCTTCAGCTATCGTCGAAAGGTTTTGCACTGGTGGAATGTCACTTGGTGCAATTTCTAGAGAAACTCATGAAGCAATTGCCATTGCCATGAATAGATTAGGAGGAAAATCTAATTCAGGAGAAGGTGGTGAGGTAGTGTGTTCACTTTCTAGTAAATTGTGATGCACAACAATCTTGAAACATCTTTCTTTTGTCATACAATAGTTGCAGATTTGTTGACCATGAATCAAAAGTAACTTGGATTTTAATATTACTTTGAATCCAGGACCCTATACGCTGGAACCCACTCTCAGATGTTGTTGATGGGTATTCTCCAACATTGCCACATCTCAAAGGCCTTCAAAATGGGGATACTGCTACAAGTGCTATTAAGCAGGTCATGTCACTTCGCTATGCTATGGAATGAGAATATTTAGTTTCTTAATCTAATTTTATAGGCTTCAGCTTTAGCTCTAAGACCCAGAACCTATTTGCTTATTGTAAAACGTCCACGTTAAGATATTCTTAATCTCATGAAAGTGCATGTCTAAAAAATGAGGCCATTAACTGGAAGAAGTCTGTGGGTTGTTTTTATTAAAATACAAGAAAAAAATAATAGAGACATGGTTTTTGCTCATGCATTTATTAGATGCAAAGCTTTATTGAAAGGACTCCAACTCCAATGCATATTCTTCAGGTTGCTTCTGGTCGATTTGGTGTAACCCCAACATTTTTGGTCAATGCTGATCAGTTAGAAATTAAAATTGCACAAGGTGCAAAGCCCGGTGAAGGTGGTCAATTGCCTGGGAAGAAAGTGAGTGCATACATTGCAAGGTTGAGAAATTCTAAACCTGGTGTTCCCCTTATATCTCCTCCACCGCATCATGACATTTATTCCATAGAGGATCTTGCCCAATTGATCTTTGACCTTCATCAGGTAGTCATCTGCTTCATCTTCAATCTGCCAGAATGTAATATATATTTCCAATGTATTGATAAGAATGGTATCTGACATCTGTCTGGCAAATAGGTCAATCCTAAAGCTAAGGTCTCTGTAAAGCTTGTGGCTGAAGCAGGTATTGGAACAGTTGCTTCTGGGGTTTCAAAGGGTAATGCTGATATTATACAGGTATTTAAATATGAATTGGTTTTACATATATCAAGTGTTGAGGTATCATCATCTTTTATGCTATTTGGCGAGAAAAAAAGAAGCTTTCTCCTCTATTTGTCAATGTTTACAACCCTCTCAAGCAATAGGTTTTGCCAGAAAATTTGACTACAAATCTTTGGAACCATATGAATAATTGGAAAGTAATGTTACTGCATCCTATTATACTTGGAGAATCCTTTAGCAAATTGATCATGAAAGGCTCTCTTCATTTGTCCAGGTTTAGAACCCGTTTTAACAAACTTTCACTTACAAGAATGATTTGAATTGTCATTAATTTGTTCTTTCAACAATAGCGGTCTACAGTTTGATACTCTTGTGATTTTAAGTACTCCACTCTTAAGGAAGCACTCAAAGTTATTAATTAATATATCCAATTTATTTTGCAGATATCAGGACATGATGGTGGAACTGGAGCCAGCCCTATAAGTTCGATAAAACATGCTGGTGGTCCTTGGGAACTTGGACTTACAGAAACACACCAGGTGGTTATTCCTACAAATCAGATCATGACTATTTCTTCTGATTTTAGCACACTCAAGGAGATATTTGTTAACGGAAATCTTTTGCAGACTCTCATTGAAAATGGACTCAGAGAACGGGTCATTCTCAGAGTTGATGGTGGCTTCAAAAGTGGAGTTGATGTCTTAATGGCTGCAGCAATGGGTGCTGATGAATATGGGTTTGGTTCTGTGGCAATGATTGCTACTGGATGCGTTATGGCTCGCATTTGCCACACTAACAATTGCCCTGTTGGTGTTGCCAGTCAAGTACGAAAGGAAACCACATTGTTGTTTAATATTCTCATTTTCTTGAACCTTCTAACTCATTGATGTCATCTTTGTTATTTGTTTTTCCCCAACTGATTTTTATATAGAGAGAAGAACTGCGAGCACGATTTCCTGGTGTGCCTGGTGATCTTGTGAATTTTTTTCTATATGTAGCTGAGGAGGTAATTCAATCTCCCAAAATTTTTGGGGATTTTGCATGCATTTTCTCTCCCTAAGGTTCTATGGGATTTTAGCATCCATTTTTGCGGTCAAATTTTCCTGTTCAATGAAATTCTGTACATTTACTCCTGTTTTATTACCTTAATGATTTGATGTCCAGCTGTAGTTCATGTTTGCTATATTCTCCAATGCCTTCCTCTATTATGTTTGCCTAGGTTAGAGGCATGTTAGCACAAATGGGTTACGAGAAGTTAGACGATATAATTGGAAGAACTGATTTATTGAGACCACGAGATATCTCGCTAGTGAAAACTCAGCATCTTGATCTCAATTTTATTCTCTCTGTATGTACAAACTACACTTATTTTCCTATTCTCTGTCTTTCCATTATGGACATGCCTATTTAAATTGCTTATATGTAACATAATTCCTTTTTTTATCAGAATGCTGGTTTGCCAAAGTGGAGCAGTACAGAAATCAGGAATCAGGATGTTCATTCAAATGGCCCTGTTTTGGATGATGTTTTGCTTGCAGATCCAGAGGTAACAAATAATTGATATATGGTGCTTCTTGGCTTGTGCTTGTCCGTGTTGAAGTTGTTCGTTTGAATAATATAATGTTGATCCACGGATATATGTTTTGCTTCCTTGATACAAGTTTTGCTTGGATTGCTCTGCCTGCAGTTATGATTTGCGCATACTTATATATGTGGCTATGCTGGAACTTTTTGTTTTTTGGCTAGGATATTGGAACATAGCTAGTCAGGTTCTAGACAAGAAGTTCTCGCAGTCCCTTTCTTTTATTCCATCTTTGTTCAGTTGAATATACAAATAATATGTGTCCAGGGCAACATCGGCTAGCTCCAATGATTTTAGGCATATGGTATTTATGATTTGTGGTTGTTCCCTCTTGTATTGTCATTAAGAAGGATGCCACCTTTTTTGAGGGGAGCACAGGTATGATCAGCTCTATCGAAAACTATGGAATCCACCCAGGGCCTTGAATAGACTAGAAAAAGGAAGAATCTAATAGGCTGAATTATTAATCAATCCATGTTCCTGCATTTACCTGTCATTTCTATTCATTGCCTGGATAAGATAGGAAACATAGATTCTAAAACGTACCTTACTTGGTACAAAAACTTAAAAAACCTTTTACATCTGAAAACATGCCATCTTATAGGAAGGGAATCAATTATTGGTGAGGGCCAGTAGTTTAAAATGAAATCTTCAAATCACTTTAGTTCCCTTCATTTTTCAGTTTAACATTATTTGTTGAATCTGAGGTACTATGAAATATGTTAAAGAATCATAATCAGTTTATGCTACTAACTTTTGAAAGATATCTGTCATGCATTGTTCCTGATGGCAACTCTTGTATGAATAATATCATTCCAGATATTCGATGCGATAGAGAATGAGAAAGTGGTCAAGAAAACAATTAAGATATACAATGTTGATCGTGCTGTTTGTGGGCGTATAGCAGGAGTGGTTGCAAAGAAATATGGTGATACTGGTTTTGCAGGGCAACTAAATATAACGTAAGATGTGCTGGGCTTGGTTAATAACAACAGTTTAAAAGATGCACATCTTGATATCTATTTAATCTATTCAGGCTAAATACTTTTTCTTCCTGACAGTTTTACTGGGAGTGCTGGGCAGTCATTTGCTTGCTTTTTAACACCTGGGATGAACATTCAGCTTATTGGAGAGGCTAATGATTATGTGGGAAAGGTATTTTTATAAAATTAGTAATTGTTCGTATTGTTCAAAAATCGAACTTGATAGGTTTTAAGAATTTGTCAGCAAATGAGTTGAGCATGATTTCTCTGGGGCTTTTAGATTATTAACTAGCACAATATCAATAACTTATTTCATTCTTAAGTCAAATTAACATGAAAATATTTACCAACTTTATGTGAATTTTTATTTTATTTTATTTTTGTGAATTGCATTGACTTTTATATTTACTTAAGCTTGGTAAAATCTGAAATGAGCAATATAAATGTTGCAAGGGTATGGCTGGAGGTGAGTTGGTGGTGGCTCCTGTTCAGAGCACTGGGTTTTGCCCAGAGGATGCAACCATAGTAGGGAATACTTGTCTGTATGGAGCAACAGGTGGTCAAATCTTTGTTAGAGGGAAAGCTGGAGAGCGGTTTGCTGTCAGAAACTCACTTGCTGAAGCCGTTGTTGAAGGCACTGGTGATCATTGTTGTGAATACATGACTGGTGGATGTGTGGTTGTACTTGGAAAGTGAGTACAAACCCTTTACTTATATTTGTCATAAATCTTAATTCAAGGAAATTAATGTTAGAGCAACTTCACTGGTGATTTTGGCAGAGTGGGTAGAAACGTTGCTGCTGGTATGACTGGAGGTTTGGCATACATTCTTGATGAGGACGACACTCTCATTCCCAAGGTCATTTCTGATGCACCTGACCTCTTTTTAATAACTTCCTGTTGATGATATACTTTCTTTTTTTTTAAATTCATGTATCTGTTCTCACTCAAGAGCTTCAAAGTATAACGTGTAAATCTTTGAGCAGGTCAACAAGGAGATAGTGAAGATCCAAAGAGTGACTGCCCCAGTTGGACAGATGCAGTTAAAGAGCCTTATTGAAGCCCACGTTGTAAGTGTACCAATCGTATGCATGCATGGACATCAATCGTGTGCCATAGTTAATTAATGATGGCCAGTTGATTTCGTAGATATATGAACTTAGTACATGCAACTGTATGTCCAGTATCGTAACTTTTAAACAAATATCGATTTACTCTTAATACTTTTTCTGGTGAAGGAAAAAACTGGCAGCAGTAAAGGTCAGACAATTCTAAAGGAGTGGGAGACATACCTCCCACTCTTCTGGCAGTTGGTTCCACCTAGCGAAGAAGACACCCCAGAGGCTTGTGCTGAGTATGTGAGAACAGCTACTGGGGAGGTAACGTTGCAGTCTGCGTAGGGCAACTCAAGAGTAACAAGGAAAGTCGAAAGTCAAACCCACCTTTGTACAGGTCAAACATAGAGAGTTGGGTTTTAATAAGCTACATTAAAGAGGAGGATTTCAAACTTGTATCATACAAGGCAAGTAATGTTTGTTGCTTAGTTGCCTTGTTTTGGAGAACCCTCAATTGTCAATCAATAAGCATTCATCTTAGTAAGTGCTACAGTGTATTTGTACAGTGAATTGTCACCGGAACTGTAAATTAAAGTTTAGGTTTTTGCCATCCTGTCAGGGCTTATATGTTTACTAACAGTTATACACCGTCATGGCTAGCTATTGCTGGTCATTTTCGTTTTATCTGTTTAATTGATTCTGATAAAATGAATTTCCACTTGTTCATAGTCAGTAATCTTAGTCGATCAAAACTTGTTAAATAATTCTTGTCTTCAGCCTTTAATTTGTAATGTGCATGTCGTAATTCATTTAAAACACATGATTTTTTTTTTATGCCTTTCAACTCATGTTAGTTTCTAAAATCTAAGACCTGTAGAGATTTATCATATTAACTCAGGGAATTCTTTGCGTTCATAAAAATACAAAGCCTGTTTAAAATATAAAAATCTAAATCGAAGCAAAATTAGCTTTAAACTAGGGTGAATTCATTTGCTTCATCCATGTTGATACTCCATGTTGGGGCTTTGTTTTAGCCTTTGCTCTCTTTATGTTTAAGGTAACATTCTAATTTTCCGCTAATTGAATAATCGGCTTTAAAACATAAACTCCCTTAAGGTTTCTTGCAAATACAATTAGACCCACAGATTCTGTAAGTGATAAGAGAAGTCCAAACGTTAATTGAAAGTTACATACTCATCCAAATGTTTAACGGACGTTAGGCAAATAAGAGTTGTAACTTATAAAACTGGTTAAAAGTCTAGAATAACCTTTTGTCTTATCTTATTTGAATAAAATAATTTAAATTAATAATAAAAAAAAAAATGAATATCTCAAGTTGCGGCCAATTTTAAAATGTCTCAATAAAATGAATCTTCACATGGGCACAATCTTTGGCAGTCATACATCTCCAATTTGAAATGCACTTTCCATACATCTTTAATCTCTCAATACATTTTCCATATCTACACAAATCTAAACCAGCCAAACTTAGAAAAATAACAACAAACTGAACAACACAACCTCCGCAAATTTTGCATAGCAACCTTGGCAAATTTTGAGTAGCATTAGGTTCCATAGCAATGTTTTAATAACCAACTCGAGGTGAAACTTGGTAAAGTTGGCAACTCTCGGGTTGATCGGTTTAACCAGTTTGACCGGTTGGTCAAATCAGGTGCCGGTCAAACCGGGTGACAAAACTTTTAAAATTCAACAAATGTACCCCTGAAAATTATTAAGTCCCTATAGGTTTGAAATTTAGCAAACACATCCTAAATACAAATCCACTAGCGATTGGTTGGTCGTGGTGACACCCCAAATGCAATCCGAATCGTCCCTTGAGCCCATTCCCCATAAAATCTACCCAAGATCTGGCCAAGATTGGTTCAATTTCAGCCAGATCTCACCGACGCCGGCATCAACAACCCTCCCCATCACCCCGAAAATACTCCATTCTTCCTCCCAACCAAAACCCACCTCACCCCACCCCGTTAGCCTCACCAATTGCCGACAAAAGTTGGATGTTACCGCCGCCATTTTTTTTTATTTCTGGTCGATTCACTCATCGAAAATCAACTTCGTAGCCACCATTGAACTCACTGACACTTTCTCTTCAAAAGCCCTAACATCCTAGCCTTCAATTGTTCGTTGATCATCATCCCAAATTATAGGGTTTTGAGTGAATAGGAAAATGTTAACCTGGCCCAGTGAAGCTCTCGGATCCCGATTTAACTGGTTAAACCGGTTAGGTCGAGCCGGATTTTAAAATAGTGTTCCATAGTATGAAAACTGGCCCACGTGCCCAAACTAAAAGGTTTTTTTTTTTTATTTTTTTTTATTTTTTTTATTTTTAATGTTTAAAAAGGTTGACCTTGTATATAACTATAAACTTTTATAATGTGAGATTTTATAGAACTAGATCAAGTTGCAGCATGATATGCAATTGAATGAAATACCAACAATACCACCAATAAAGAACAAAGAAACATACTCCATTGAGAGAAAAAAGGACTACAGCATTTTTTTCGCAAATCCTTCTATCTTTTAATTCAAAAACATCAAGAAAAAAAACTGCAACTTTTTCACACTTACAAGATTTTAGGATTTCTTTTTTCTTTGTTCTAGCATGAAAGGCAAGAAAGAGACTGATATAGGGTTTTTGGCCTTCTCTCTTACATGCTTGAAAAGTTTCACATCAAATCTTTCGATTGGTTTTTTTAATTCCTTACAAGTTAACACTTCATCTATTAATAGCTAATGAACATATGTTAATATTTGGATGAATATGATACTTTTAATTAACATTTGTACTTCTCTTGTCACTTTAGAGAACATGTGGTTCTAATTGTTACTTTCAAGAAACCTTAAGGGTGTTTATGTTTTAAAGTCTAAAATAATCCTACCAATCTTTATTTAAGTAAACCTACCCATTTTCTATTAAGATAAACACTGGACTATCGCCCCTTTAACTTCTTGCTATAACATACATGCTACTCATACCATTTGAGCTCGATAAAGATCACTCTAACATCGATGTTCAAAGCCATTTTGTAGACATTTTGAAACTTTTGTTGGAGAGTAGAATACTTCATTTATCACTATTGTTAAGTGCACTTCATTGTCGAGGTAAAGAAATTGTCTAAAGTTGTCTTTTTGGGTGACAAAAATGGCTTATATGTTTTTTGTGATAGTGCATTGGAGTTAGTTTAGGTTGATTTTCGTTACATTTTTAACATTGATGCAAACCTTAATCTTTCCATTGTATCGGACTTTTTTTTTTCATACTTGTATAAAATTGAGTTGATAGTACTTTTATACATTATTTTATGTCATAAATGGGAAGTTATATTTGATTTTAAAGTTATAGTGATTTGCTTAAAAAAGTTTAAAATATTACATGCTCTTTTTTGTATGAACAAATATATTTGGTTTAAGTAGATATTTGTTGGATTCTAATGTTACTGTTTCATTGGTTTTATATGCATGGTTTGATTTGTTGCATGTGTAGACGGTTAAATCTACAATTAAGTTGAAAAAAGATGATCTTGTGAGGACGAGGCCACTAACAATCTTGTAGACTTGCAAGGACAAAGAAAAGTGAACGTGAAGGCTTGGGGGGCATCGGTGTAGTTTTGGCTGTAGGCACTCCAACGTTCAAGTTAACACGGTTGACAGGAATTTAATAAAGCTGAGAGCGAGAAAGGGTTTATCAGGAGTGTTTGGCTAGGGTGCGACTGATCGGCGTAGAGTGGCCGGAACACAGCCCTATGACAATTATAAGAGTAGAGTTAGTGGAAACTAGGCTTTACAAGGGGGAAAAGCGATGGTTCTTAGGAGCAAGAACTTAGTGAACTAGTGAGAAGGGATGTGATTGAATCAATAATGAGAGGGTTGACCTCTGTTTATATTGTGAGCCAAGGAAGCTTGAGTCATTGTAGAACTATGCATTCTTATAATAGGAGTTTGAGTAAATAGGAAACTCGTAGTCCTTCATGCATTCTTATAATCCATTATAATGCATGAAGGATTAGGTGTACTAATTCATGTAAGATTAGGAACCTTCGATGAACTAGGAAGTGTATGGGACTCAAAGTCCTATTCTGAAATGAATATAGGTTGATGGGCTAGAGCCTGGTTTGGCTTAATCTGTATAGAGGCCCATCTCGTGAAGTGGCCTAAAGTATAGGTTGGCCCAGTTCATAGGGTGGCATTGATTGTAAAGTGATCCAACTCGTGGAGAGGGTTGACTGGTTGTATGAACCAGCTCGTAGAATGGACTGGCCCATAGAATGGATATTCTTACAAAATGGGTAATCCCGTTCAATGGTCTTTCCATATGATGGATTTAAGCATGGACCCGAACAGAATTTGGGTTATGGCATTGGGCCATATATAGTATTTATTTTGTTATTGGGCTTGACAATGCCTAATACGATTTTTGGCCCATACAATTAGTCCCTCACTCTCTAAGTTTAGGGGTGCTTAGCTTATAAAGTAGATTGAGTCGATCATAGGTGTAAAACTAGTGAATCACTGCCTTTTGGGAGATTAATCAGCTAGACCCTCAATTGTGTATGATTGGCCGAGTGAAGCAAAGCTGGGCAGCAAGTTTTTGCAAGGAGAAATATGCATAGGCTCACTCGACTCGAATTGGCACATGTATTTTCCATTTGAATAGGGGCAAGTCGGCTCGGCTCGGATAACTGAGTGGAGAACGCTAGCTGAACGAAGAATGTTTGGATCTGCATGACAATTGGATCATTTCATCTTTACTTTTCTTGTTGGAGCCAGTCATGTATGCCGAGCCAAGAGACGCATGGAGAGTTTGTACATGTCCCTAAGGCTTATGACTTTGATTAATCATTTTGTGGTACTGACCGAGTCGAGCTAAATGAAAGACGTTTGTATTTCATGTATTCTCATTCGACAGGCCAATCCGAATGGAGAGAGGGGAAAGTGTTGCATTTGAAGCCCTAAAGCTTGAAGATAACTCCTCAAGATTGTGCTATCCATCAACGCTGAGCCAAGTAGAGGAGATTGCACCTTTGGTGACATTGATTGATGGTAGTTGTAAGATGAAGCATCATTTGGTTTGGGTGAGTCGAGTGGTGATACTTACACTTCAGAGATTGAAGCTAAAGGTGCATGGTGAGTAATGTTGCATTAGGACGAGTCGGCTTGTCTCACAAGGATGATATTGGTCATGTTGAGTTTCGAGATGCCTCGAATGTGTGACACGTGTAGGGTGTGTATTCACTAGGTAGTATGTAAGAAATTGAAAAGTCTTATTTCTTGAGGCATTGCGAATGCTTGACACTTGTCTGTTTTAAAAAGATGGGCATTTATTATGGTGTCGTTACCTTTGGAGAGGCCATTCGCATTTCAAGAGGTGTTTTTGAGAGAGAAGCTTTGAGACAGGTTTTGAAGAGGAGTTTTTAGCCATTTTTGACAATTTTTGGTGCAAAAACACTATAAATCTTTGTTTTTCTTCAGTTTTCTACTTGTTTTCTCATTTTTTTCAAGTTTCTAGTAGATTTCGAGTAGTTTAGGTTGGATTGTATGAAGTTTGGGGAATTTTTTAGTGAAAAAAGTTAAAGTAGGAGTGTATTTTCTATCAAATGTGGTTTTCGAAGGTGTTTGGTGGTTTTCTGTGTTGTCAAGACAGTTTCTAATTTGGAGAGGAAAGGATTAGGGCAAGCTAGGGTTTCCATTTGGCACTGACTGATACAATCGAG